TTGTCTATTTCTGATATGATATTCATATTGCAATATAGAAAGTAACTATATCCACATTTTCAAATAAGAACTAAATTATCTATCAACCTATTTGAAAGATAATTAAAATATTATTTATTTATTAAATAAATATATCTAAAGAACACTGTAGAATTTCAAATAAAAAGGAGCCTGTCCTCGTTCGAGAGACCGGAAAAAGACCGGAGTTGGTTGAAGGAGGTATCGCAGAACTTGGTTATTAGCTCTGTTGTCACTGTTTTCTCGTTGCTCGTTTCTTCTTAGTCTATCGTGGTTCTGTTCCATCTCGTTCTCCTCTTCAAATTGAAAAGGTTCGGGGAGTTAAGGCCTGCCAAAAGTTCACTCAAATCATTTTGAACGGACTCGTTGTTCGGGATAATAACACGTCCTCTTCTTCTGTCCATAATCAAAATGACAGACGGTCACAAGCACCAATGTTACACTAAATGTATTAAAACAAAATTAACTAAAAATCACAAAACTTCAATTGACAAATATACAAAACACAAGAAATCAAAGACAAAAAACAAATAGAATGGATAGTAAAAAAAATGCTATGATTTGAATTGCTATTAAAACTGGTTCAAAAAAAGGTCGAAAACCCATCCAAGTGTGTCCGAGTAACTGCACCCGTCGCTGGCAGGAGGCCCCTTGCAGGCGCGACGAGTGCTGATGAAAGGTCGGGCGCGTGTGAGCGAAGGCCTGTCTGCCGTTGGCGCGACGATTTGCACGTCACATGCGCAAGGCTGCTCTTGGGCGCAATGCCTCGCGCAGCGTGACAGTTGTGCGCGAGCACGCCTCGGGCGTGGGGGACTGGTTGCGCCGTGGGCACTACATCGCGCCTGCGTGTGATGCCTGTCGCACGCGAGTCGTGGCCTGACAGCTGGTCGCGTCCCGTGCAGTTCGGTCGGCTGAGTTTCGGCCATATTCTGGGATGGTAGACGAAAAATAAACAAAATATTTAAAGAGTACGGAATATACATAAACGAACAAAATAGCCTAATGGATTGAAAAGTCTATAAAACGAGCTCAGATAAACTCGAGGGAACACTATACAAATCACAAACAATAAAAACAAATACATGCAAAGCAGTTGATCTGATTAATAATTAGATGAATATATTATTTCTCATAAATATATATAGGTATATTTTTATTAAATAATTATTTTTTTAGAAAAAAAAAAAGATAAACTGAAGTGTGACGATTAATATTATAACTACATTTTTTGTTCATAAAATGTAACTTGACGGACTCACAATATCCAATATAGTTTAATCAGCACCTCCAACATGGACTTTATGCATATAATTGTACATAAATCAATTGCAAGACGATGTTGGGAGATTCCTTGAAAACTAGCGTGGCATATATGGTACTTGTCCTCAACCAAAAAATTCTATATTATTTATTTGCTTCAAATTTGCATCCATCACTAGACAACATTATTAATTAATTGATGTTTTGTAAGATACTTTTCCACATACAATATCAGCATGTTGTATTGTACGTGGTCGGCTGGTCGCTGGGACATAGCATTAATGGTGCACAGACGTTGATCACAGACCACCACGTTCATAATACAATTAGGATGATTAAAGTTAATCAAGACAGCTAATCTATTCATATTTCCCACATATTATACACCCAACCAAAAGAATATAGTGCAACCTAATTTATTCTTCTTTTCATTTTTTCGCATTTTTCTTTTTCCCCATTTATTTTTTCTTCTTTTGTTTCTAACGGTTGGCTGTTAAGCGAACTGTACAAGAATACAAGTTTTTTAGGACTAGAGGTGTAGACAAGTCGAGCTCGAGCTCGAGCTCGAGCTCTTAAGGAGTAGAGACAAATTCATCTCGTCAACTAAATGAGTCAATAATGAAGCTCGAGTTTGACTCGTTTATCAATATTAACGGGCACTAATAACCTGAGCTTGAGGCTTAATAAGCAGAACTACAAAAAATTATATATAATTTTTTTCAAGACTTAACGAGCTAAGCAAACTGAGTTCACGAACAATTCATTTTGTTTTACAGCTCCACTTACAATATAAATGCAGCGACTCTTTAAAATATATCTAAATGATTAAATATTTTGTGACGCTTTTTAATGTGACTCACCAAAAAAATATTGTAACGGTATTATTTTAATGTAAATAGATTATGATTCTTAAAAAAAAGTGTTGTGGTGGAGATTGATATGACGATATGATTTTAATTTTTTTTTTATATTGTATCGCTAGTTTTTGAAAGTGAAATTAGAAATCAACATATATTAATATATGAATTTTGACAATATATATAATATCGAATTTACTCCTCTATCCACGGTGGGCAGAAAATTAATATGGTGATCACTGCTTATGTGGCATGTACACATCGGGCATATTAATTCTCTCCCACTGCTTATGCCCAATGTGTACATGCCACTTAAGAAATTCCTTGCCCACCGTGGGTAGGGGAGTAGATCCCTATAATATATATATATATATATATATATATATATATGTATAGTTAGGATCATGTGAGAATGGTAGATAGTGAAAGAAATGAGAATAAATCTATACCATTAGATCGCACATATCAATGGTCATGATCATGTCAAATCTGTAAAAGTGGCAGTCAAACATTAATGGCATTCTCGTAAATAATATGCATATGTGGTCAAATGTAATCATCTACCCACTCAATGAGGGCAAATCAGCCATTACCTAATATAAGTGGACCCCACCACTACCACTATCATACACCTCTCTCCCTCTCTCTCACACACATACACACACACCTCAGATCTACACACACCGAACACACACATAACACACACAAACACTCACCGGGAAAATCAGGGCAAACAGGTCTGCCGCCGGCCGTTAACATCTTCGCTGATCGGCATTCAACATCACCGCCGCCTCGATAATTGTCGGTCAAGTCGTCACCGACTCCGGTGGTGAAACTCTCGGATTCTGACACTGTGACCACCGGGAAGATCAGCGGCTACGTAGTCATCGGCGCCCAGAGGTTTTCTTTAAAGCTTGACGGGTAGCAACTGCGTCGGAGGAGGTAGACCTCCTCGATGGGCTCGTCGCTAGGTGGTGGCGATGGCCGGCGGGACATTAATGTCTATGTGGTGGCGTGATACTCCCGTGCAGGATACAACGGCGGGTCTAGAGTGGTGCATAGACGGCGACGACGGCGGCGAGAGTCTGGCGGAGCAACAGGAGCGAAGTCCTGCGATTTCAGTCGTGCAATGGGCTGCGACGGCGGCGGATCAGGGGACTCCGACGGTGGGAACAGGGTGCTCCGGCGGAGGCTGTGGGGCGGGAGACTCCGACGGCGGCGGCAGACCCTTGGCTGTGGCGACGGGAATCATTATTGGTGGTGGAGAGATGTTGAAGGGATGAGGGAGTCACTTTGAAAATTAGATAATGCTAAAGGACTTCTATGCAAATTAAAATAGTTAATTTTATTTCAATTTAGTACATGGGTAAAATTAGCAATTTACTAAAATCCAATAAATGCACTATATATGTAATTTTTAAGATCTAATAAATGCACTATATTGATGAGTAAATTGCACATTAATATGTGTAGATGTGCACACCAAAATACTAATAGTGTTATATATGTAACTATTATAATTTAAATAAATGCCAATATTGATAACTAAGTTGTACAATAGTATATGAACATATGCACTTTTAAAATGACGTTGTATTTATATAAAATTATAGAAGTATTATCGCATACACAATCTAAATTTCACAATTTTTTGCGTGAGGTCGTGCACATAAATTAACCTGTCATACTTTTACAAAATTATAAGAAATGTATTATTCTATATAAACGAAATATTAATAAATGTCATATTTATATTTAATATGTTAATAATTTTATTTATTATTTTTATATTATTTATGGTTGAAAAAATTCAAGTTTGGTCGGTTTCGATCTCTAGTGTGGAGTGTCGTGACAAAGTGGAGCGAATTATTTTATAAAGTGCAACATTGTGTATTATAAAGTGCAACGTATTCATATATAAAGTGGACTACTGTAATTTGGGTACGTTGACATGTTTGCGCTTTTTGTGTACGCAATGAAGACCGAATCAGAGGAGCTAGGTGGCGACGTCTATTTGGCCGATTTCGATCTCTATTGTGGAGTGTCGTGACAAAGTGCAGTGAGTTATTTTATAAAGTGCAACGTTGTGTGTTATAGAGTGCAACGTGTTGATATATAAAGTGCACTACTGTAATTTGGGTACGTTTACATGTTCCCGTTTTTTGTGTATGGATGATATGATGGATGTTAAATTCTTTTGTAGATACAACTTTTAGATTTATGATGTGTGGTATTTTGGTGGAAACTATCGACATTAATTGTGGATTGTATAGAGTGCAATATGTTGCTTTATAAAGTGCAATGTGTATTTTTATAAAGTGCATCATGACGATATATAAAGTGTCTTATATGATCCGAGATAAATTGCGTGTATTATTATCAAAATATACTTAGTATTTCATTATATTTCGTTTTTTATTATTATAAAAATATACTTAGTATTTCATTTTTTATTATTATAAAAATATACTTTAGTATTTTATTTTTTTATTTATTTACATATTATTTTTTGGTTTAAAATATAATGTTTAAATGTGTATATAAAAATATATAAAATATAATATTTTATATATATTTTCTAAAATTAAAGATTTGCCTATGAACTAAATTGAAAGTAATCGAAATTAATAAAATTGCAAAAAGGCCCCTCAAAATTATCTAATTCTCAACAAAAAAAATGAAGAAACCTAAAATACTAATCCTGCAAATTCCCGTCGCTCACTGCCGTCTCCGACTCAATTCGTCCGGCATCAACCTCCGACGGCCATTGGTGCGCTGTAGAGGAAGTTGGGCATAGTATGACGGCGGCGGCGGAGGCCGTCGATGGAGTCTGTGTGTGTTTGTGTGTGAGCGGTGGCGGGGGCGATGGCGGCGGAGAACGGGCGGTGGAGGGCTGTCTGTAGATCTGTGACTGTGTGTATGTGTGTGTCAACGGTGACAGGGGACGGTGGCGGCGGTGAACGGGCGGCGGCGAGCAGAGACCGCGTGCGTGTATCGATTTTCCGTGTGTGTGTGTGTGTGTGAGAGAGAGAGAGAGAGTGTGTGAGCTAGAGAGAGCAGGAAGAGGGGCGGTGACGGCGGCGGTGACGACGGCAGACAGGTGGTGGCAGAGTGGCGGTTGCTGACCATGACTATGTGTGT